TTCTCTTTTTATATTTTACTATATTATATCACATTATAATCTATCCTTATTTCATAGTTAAAGAATTCAGTTTCGAAAGGATCAACGACCAAACTATAATCTTTTCAATAAAATCACGTGACGAGTCGTATCCAGCGAAAGTGCCTTCACTTCTATCAGCATCCATTTTTCTTTTTATCAGTGAAAGAAAATACCTTTCACGATCGAGAGGAACGATCGATGGATCCTCTTCCTCTCTTCGTCTCTTGCTCTCCTCCTTGGAAAAGAACTTAATTCTTCGACTCAATTCTTTTTGGTCGATTTCTCAGCTGGCCCGAGAAAAATCATCGCGCTGAAAAACAGGCGATCCAAGTTTGAGAAACTTTTGCACGCCTGTTTGCAGTAGTTAACTGCGCATTCAGCCAGCCGTGTTTAAGGCTGCTCTCGAGTTCGGCTGCATGGTTGACTAGGTAACGTGACGTGAAACATCGACTTTTACTTCGGTTCCACGCTACGTGTGTCTTGCCGGTGGATAAGGATAAACGAAACTAGAACGCGAAGGCGTGCTGTTCCTTTTGCAATATTTAAAAAATTCTTAGATAAATAAGACCTCTTGACCCCTGTTTACAGGGTTCACCTGCGTCACCGCAACGATAGATTTTATTTTTTTTTTTTATCGTCGCTGCAACGTGACAGAAGGATGGTTTTTGCTTGTGGTTTTGCCGGGAGGAAATGGATTTTGCGGTGGTTATGGAATGGTATGATGAGTTCTAGTGAGTATTCCTGATGTGGTTGGTGTGGGATTATCAATTTGTTTTCTATTTGTTTGTGAAACGATTTGTGATAGAAAAAAATTTGACAGGGATGAAAAGAGGATATAAGATGATTTTTGCATTGGGGAAAATGTCGAAAGAGAGAAAAAGTGGATATTTGGTATTGTTCATTCTCTAATTTATTTCGCATTAATTTTGATTGAACGATGTTGATCAAGAAGAATCATGCTTCGTATCAAAATTAACTTTTTCTTTTTTTTTTTTTTTTTTCTTATATTCTCAGTGAATTTTCATTTTTTAAATCAATTAATAATTAAAAAATTTCATAATGACGATAATCATCATTAGTATTGACTTTATCAGATTGTTACAAAGTTTCACTTTTTATTGTAGCAGTGTGATATCATCCAGTTAATTTTCATAATTAATTTGATTTTGCAACATATGATATTTTACATCTGATTCATTTTTTACGAGAAAAAATATTTTTTTCTTTTTGCAATAAAATGAAAATTCTATCGTTTCAAAGATCGATTTATTAATTAATTAGTCGTATTTAGCCGAATCGTATTGGATGGATTTTATGAAACGAACGGGAACCGAAAATGATAAATTGAATATTATTAAATTAAAAAATTTGAACAAACCGTCACGATTATTACAGTCGAAAGACTGTAATAGACAAAATCAATGCGATGGAAAATTATAGTGGCCGCCATTATTTGAGATGTTATGTTCAACTACTTGGAAAGGAATAATAGTCGACCAACGAACAATAATTTCAGAATTTTATTTCGTGAATTTTTCTTTTTTTTTTTTTTTTTTTTTTTTTTGTTTTAATTCAATTGTCATCGAAAATATAATAAAGCGATGGAATAAATTGCCTTGTATTAATCCTCTCGATGAAAATTATAGAGATCACCAAATTTGCATTTTTTTTTTTTTGATCAAACAGTTAATTAATTGATTCGTGACTGGAGGTAGTTAATGGCACGATAAACGAAGCTGTTATTTATTGTAATTGGACATGATAGAATCATAATTTAAGATGAACACTGGTTCATCTGATTTAATGACGACTTGTTAATTTATTATCCATTTATAGATGATTATCGATTCGAGTAGTTTATTTGTTATTCTTATTTATGTTAATCGTAAGTTTTGCGAATAATCGTTAAATCAATATTCCTTTTTTGTTTCACGAAGTGCAATGAGTCAAGAATAATTTAATATTAATCATTATTATTCGATTAAATATCATCAGAGTAAATCAATATATAATGATTAACAAGAATTGAAGTTCATTTAATTATACACTATAAATAAAATTAAATAGTTTTAGAATAATAAATGTAAATTTTTTTTAATTTATAGATCGTCAATTGAACGAAGTATGAATATTCATTACAAAAAGTGTATTAGTTTTATAAGTAATAAAATGTTAATTATTTAGAAAATATTATTCTAATTAATGATCGATCTGAGAAAAACACATTTGTAATTTAAAATAGAACTATTATATTTTTTTTTCTTGTAATTCGATAGAAATCTTTCAGATTTTGAAGCGAACAATATTTTGAAGCGTCTTTAGGATTTTCGAACATGTATATTTAATTTTACTGTAACTTACATACATTATTATCACTATTTACTACTTCGTAATGTAATTTATAACACTTAGCAAGCAATCAGGAATATAAATTAAAAAATATAGGTATTGTAAATTTTCTTGTATCTTCTTGTAACCGCGATGCTTTCACCTTAACTTCTTCTCATGAATCTGTTCTCTCTTCCTGGTGCTGTAATCATCTTAACTATTTCTTTCTCTTTCTCTTTCTCGTGCATTTTCCATTCACATGTATATTTTCAATTAAAAGTGTCGATTTTTTTACTTTACAGTGTCAATCAATATACAGAGCGTTCCAAACTTTTCCTATCGCTACTATTTCTTACGAATAATTATGAGTTATATAAGCAAAGAATCACAAAATGTTCTGTTAAAAATTTATGACAAAATATGAAACAACAAGAAATTATTAAGTTTCTCTTTAATTAAAATTAAAATTAATCAAACGAGAATTATCCTCATCAATGATAAAGTCAAAGAGGATTTCCTCGATCCTTGTATAAATACATTGAAAGATTTTTTTAAAGAGGGAACTGTACTAAATTAATTCAAAGATAGAAATTAAAAATGTATTCATTTGAAAGAGATTTATTATCAAAAAAGATTAATAAAAAATGCACGAACCCTCTGTAAAATTCCAAATGAATATATTCATTCCAATTATTATTAATAATTTCATTGCACGAATCATTTGTCTTCTAAAAAATTTACTATAACTTATAAATAAAGTTTTATTATATTTTCAAGAATATAACCAACATCGTGGAATGTAAAATAAATATGAAAGAAAATCGCGTCTATGCTATAATTATATGTTAGCCTATTAAGGATATTAATTTCGTTTCATTGACGATAGGATCGTCAAAGCAAATGTCACAATGTTACATGGCACGACTTTTTTTTATTTATTTTTGCTCTAATTGCATCCCTTTATAAGAGTTCACCTTTAACCAAGTATTTTTCTTTGATAATTAAAGTATTCCTCGTTTAATAAACAACATTTTCATTTTATTTAATACACGTATAAACTATCTTCCTTTAGATGATGTCTTTAAATAAAAACTAATCTTTTATTTATAGAATTATTGTCGTTAAATTATTGAGATTTTTTTTCAATGGGAATAATATCAATAGCTAGAATGATAGAGATAAGTTTATAAAAGAAGTAATTTCAAGAAAATTGTTTTTTTTTTTGAAATTTGGGAATTTCAAGGAAAAGAAAATTTATCCTCGAAAATATTTTTCACAAAATACTGGGTCCAAAGTTGAAAATTTTCACTTTCAATATCCATTATCGAAAAATAAACTCTCGACAGCTCTCAACTTGAATCCTTAGTTTTCTTCACTTCAAAAAAAGGAAAAAGTTGGAAAATATGACGTTCTTTTTCTTAATTATATCTTTCTCGATAATTGACGACTATTAAATGGAGAATAGTATCTTGACAACGTGGATTACAAAAGAATCGATTGCAATCTCATTAGAAACGTTGATGCAAGATCGTTTATCCTCGAAGTCGTGGCATTATGAAAATAAAAAAATCGCCATATTCGCTATAATGGATCACTATAAGCTGTGATCCTCGAAGGAATTACCTTATAATTCGAAAACCGATTATTAATAAAACTGATTAAATGGCCAATTTTCACGAACGAAATATTAAAATGTCCTAACGAACGTTGAAGTCGTTAGGTTATTTACTCTTCTTTATCTTGACTATGATTGTTATGAAGTTTAATCACGATGATGGAGATCATGATCACAGCATACATTTGAATAAATTTGAATGTCTGAACCGAATCGAAAGTTGTTTAGGTTTGATTCTGAATGGATACATCGTCAATGGGGAATTAATTTATTTAAAATAATGGTCCTTTTGTGGACATGTTGAATTAATTGGTCGTTGATGAACGTATAATTTGTGCTAATTAATTACCATGACGTATCGTTGTTACATTTAAGCAAATTGAATAAGATGAGGAGAAATTGTTTTAGGCAAATTGGATTGTATAGTAGAGGGTAAAAAATAAAATGATAAATCATTTTGATGCTCTCTTTCTTTCTCTCGATATAATTTGAAAATATGTTTAAACAAAATTATAAATAAGTTACTTAATTTTTGTGATTAATTATTTAATCATCAAAGTTGTATTTACAATTGTAAAATCTAAATAAACATCTTATAAATAAATGAATATAATGAATATACAAATAGATAGAAATTGTATAAAGTGTTAATAACTAATTAACTAATTAGTTGTTGTTCATAATTATTATAGCTTTGATAATTTTGAAAGATAATTATAAAGTGAGAGTAAAGTGAACGAGCACGTCGAATCACGCGACTGGTACATGAAATTGTTGAAAACGTGTATATCTCATTATTTGATCACTTAGATAAAAAAAAGTGAAAATGTGTCAAATTATAAAATACGAATTCATTAGAAAATATCCATCCATTTGTAACAGGATTTCACACAACATGCTTCACGATAAATAAAACGAATATGAATAAAAATCTTTGTTCAAATTGTTATAAATCTTACGATACATTTTACACGGATTGTAGGCAAAAGTATCACAATTGATAACAGTGAAAAAATTAACGTCACAATTTGTTCAGCTCGACGATCCTAAAACCACAAATCGTGGAACGTTGAGGTATCATTCCAAATCATTGGAAGAAGCCACAACCGCATCGACCTCAACATCGAGATCCAGAACAAGCCGAGACAGATCAGCTCAATCAAAGAGGTTTTCCAATTCGGAAAGATCGAACGAAGTACCGACCCAAGCGTCCGTGATCGATTTCGAGTCAAAATTCGACTCGACCAAGAACTCGATCGTAAGAACGACCAGAACCACTGAAAGGGACGTCTCCACTACGGAATTAAAAATGATTCGAGAAGAGCCTTCTCCAGGAAAGAAATAGAGAACGCTAAAAGCGTAGATTCACCGATTAATAGAAGGAATGGCAAAAGATATTTCTCCGAAACTAACGAGGGAGCAAAATTGAAGGACAATGATGAAACAATGGGAACGACGAAAGGAATTTCTCGAAGAGCCTTTAATAGAAAATCGAGTAATTCAAGTAGCACTGAAAGATTGGACAACAAAGGGCCATCTGTGTTTCTGGCTACCACTGAATCCTCGAGATCCAGAACTGGAAGGAAGATTCAAACGACTTATTCCATGAAGGATCTGAAGACGCAGATACCCACTTCGAGAAGGTACACTAATAAAAAATTTGAAGATGAAACTACCACAGTTTCGTTCAAAAGGGGTAGATCGACGACGGAAAGGATCGAAAAGAGTACCAGATCCGGTAGATCAAAGGTAACCAACACCAAAGAGAACAATTCCATTCAAAGAAGAGGTCCGGATCCTCTCTTATCGGAATCTGAGAGCGTCAGAGTCGACATCCCTCTGGTGGTCGATACGACGCAAAATCCGGTTCCTGACGTGACCACCAGCTTGGCAACTTCTCAGAGAAGATCGGACGCTAAAGAGTCGTCCAAATCCAATGGAAGAACAGGATCGTCGAAAAGTCGTGGAAGATTGAACGACTCTGAGGCTGCTGGCTCCTCAAGATCTAGTTCTCGAAGAGGATCTTCCAAGTTCAGCGATTCCACAACGACGGAAAGTAACGAGCAGGTCGTTAGTTCCAGGAGAAATACGATTTCCAGAGATCGATCGAGGGGTTCAGATGGCAAGAGGAATTCAACGACTGAGGCCAGATCGAGATCCAGGGGTAGAAATTTGGAGAATAACGCGAAGAATGGCGGTTCTTCGGAACGAGATGCGAAACGTAAGGTGGCTGGGGAGAGAAATTCGGAGAGAAGATCGAGGATTCCCGAGGCTGCCACAAGGTTCATAGAAAATCATGGACAGGATGGTCAGGATACGCGAGGAAGATCGAGAGGCAGGTCAAGAACGGATATTACCACGCCCATAGTTACAGGTAATGAGTAAAAATTAAAAAGTTTAAATTGTTTTTTAATCTTTTCGGCTAAACTTGCGAAATTCTATTTCTCCAACAGATGTTACCACGACCGTTGCGCTGGACACGACAATTTTTAACAACGACGTAACAACAACCGATTCTGAAGTAATGGGTACTACCATAAGACCAATTACGTCGACCAATTCAAGAATACCCGTAAGAACAACATCTTCCACATCGTCTACTTCAATCACGGAATCTTCTGGTAGAGGTAGAGGAAGAGGCAGAAACGGTAGCCAAGGAAGAAAGAGCAAAGAAGACTTTTTCAATCACGGATTGGGATTCAGGGGTAGGAAAGTTTTGCCCGAAGGATTCTTGAACGACACGACAGATTGGAAGAAATCCTCGAGGAACGAGTCTCAATCGCATGGAAATCCAGGCTGGACCTTAAGAAGGCGTCCAGCTCATCTCAACAACTTTGAAAATTCTTCGGGGACTCTCTCGGCAAGGGAACAAACGAACGAAGTGATACCATCGAACGAACAATCGACCACCGACGTTGTAACGACCGAAAGCACTAGAAGAGGGTTCAAGAAGCTGCAAACGACGGAGGAAAGCTCGACGATGGCTGAAACGACGACCAAGAGCTACAGAAGAGGTAATAAAACCTTTGGACTCGGCAAGGCGGTTGCAGAAGACGAGGAGAGTGACAATTATCCGCCTGAGTTTAAGGCGAAATTGTCTCAGTTGGTAAGTTTTATCACTTAATTCGATTTTATGGATGTAATTTGGAATACATTATTATATGTATGCTACTTTAGATATTTTTTTTTTATGTTTAATAATTTTTGTTAGAAATTATTTTATTAGAAACTTTATTTTCTTCAAAAAAATTTCAAAATTAATTAACAAATAATAATGTTATTACAAATCATTTTTCAAATGTCCCATAGTTTAAATTATCATGTAAGGGATTTCACATGCAGACAAAATTCTCTTTTATTTATCTGAAAACTAATTTTTCTGTATCTTAGGTTTTTTTCAAATATTTTTAAATACTTAAAATTATTACAGAAAATATAAAGTGCAATTGATTTATATTCAAATCAGGATAAATGTATATCTCTCTTGATAAAATTGTAAAAAAATATATAGTGCATGCTAATCGATAAGTATGATTTCAGAAGAATATCAACACGAAAATACCAGCTCCAAAAACCACTTCTAGAACACCATTCGAGGTAAGAGTCTAGAGTGCCCTTCAAATCAGCTTACAGCATCCAAATAAAATTCTCTCTCAATCTTTAATTAATTAAGGTGTATAACATATATTTCTATGCTTCTATTCTAGTTCAACAGTCTTCAAGCTTTCTATTACAACAATATCTTTACATTACAACTGTTGACGTTGACGTTGTAAAATAGATTACAGAAACGTGATACAAAATGACTAAAATAAAAAAAAAAAAAAGGAAAAACTGACTGTGACGTTAAATAAATAATACAATGTACCATATATTTTCTAACGCTAAACAAAGATTAATCAGCATGCTATACATAACTAAACACACGATTTACCTTTTTTTTTTTCATCCAAGTTTTCTTGGAAAAATTCCACTGGAAATAGTCACTGGTACCATCTCTATCGTAATTTTGAGGAATCAGTATTTTTGCATTTTGAAATCGAAAACGATTCGTGTAGGAACAGCGGAAGAATAACTATGGCAGGCGTTCGAGGAAGAATTCGATGGCGGTCGAGCCTGATGACCTCGAAACCGCAGCTTCAACAAATATTTTCACGGATGAAAGTTTTATCGTGAATCCCTTAACTGCCTTGATTAATGGCACAGGATTGCGACGCGTAAGAGTACAGACAAATCATTGCATTGCGTGATCGCATGTTCTTCATTTCCCATCGATAGCGTAGCTTCTCTTATGCTTTTAGGAGAAACGAATGCAAACCTGTCTCGTAATTTTAGAATTAATGGCTTTCAATCATCGTTTCGTCGATCATCGTTCGATAGAAGTGCTTGGTTACATTCGATGTTATTAGCTTTTGAAGATTTTTGATATAATATTACTCTCTATTATTCTGCTTGATACGAATACATATTTATTTTGATACATACCGCTATTTGTTTTTTGGAAAAGTATTGGAATTTAGAAGGATGTTGTACGTTTGTAAATATGAATTTATGCAATTATTTTTGAAATTCATGCTTATAACTATGACCTATTTATTTATTCTTGAACTATAGGCAAAATTGAGAGAAACAGTTTTTTTTTAATGGAGTTCTTTTTTTTAAATTTGATACTATAATTATGCAAATAAAATTTAACATGATATTTTTTTTATACTGACAATAAATTATTTTGTACTGTTAATAATTTAAGAAATAATATTTTATTATATATCATATCTGTTACGTTATGACCATGTAAAAAAAAACTTTTTTCTTTCCTCTTTCTCTCACTTCTCTTACAATTTTTCAATTCTTTCGAACAGAAGGTAGTACAAACCTGTATTAAAAATCTCGACAACGCTAAGGAATAGATATTGAGAAACGATTGAATTTTGATGGTGAGGTAAAAAGCTACAAGCCATGTAGCTGATACTGCATCCGTTCGCTTTTAACATCATTGACGACCAATCGAGACTGGACAATGATGCGTGATTAACAAAGGAAAAAAGAAATCGAAAAAGCTTTCTCTGTGGTGGTTGGTGAAAAATCGATTTCAACGAGTTTCGACAAATCGAATTGTTAATTCATGGGATACACGATCGTTACCAACAGCTTCGACGATATCGTTGAAACGTCCAAACGCGACTGGATCGAACGATATCCTTTTAACGACGAATCCTCGACGTGGAGTTCTCTCAAGGTCCAAAACACGAAGCTTCGATCGATGGAACACATTTTTCACATCCGATAAAATTCGATTTCTTCCATGTGTGAAAATTGATTATTTCACATTTCAAGAAATCTGGCATACGATACACAGTTTGTTACACAGTTTGTAAACTGGTTTTTGCTTTTTGTCCATTTGCTTTGAAATATCGATGGAGAAAGTGAAGGTTTGTTTAACCTACCTATAATATAACGCTTCTGATTTATTAGGTAAGGTGATTTCGATCGTAGAATTGCGATTGATGATATTTTTTGTTGGGAGGAATCTTCAAAACACGTATATAAAAGAAAGATATGTTTATCTTATCGATGTTCTTCTATATTTTGCATTGGATCGTGGATGTACAATGATTGATGATGGATGGAGCAATGGCAGAGTGAGATTATTTTACGCGAAAAAACGAATTGTGGAATTAAGATACGTTCCAATAGAAATGATTTGAAATATTAATTGTAGCATGTGCGAAACTCCATGCACTTTCACTTCACTATTGCTACATTTTGTTACTTGTGTTTATTATATGTAACGATTAACGATTATAAAATGACATATCAGATCGAAACGATTCGAAAATTAATGGAAGTCTCTATTTACTTTATACCCATGCAATAGTCAGTTTCTTTTTATATTTCATATTATTCGTTTGATCGTTATATTGTTATTTTCTATTTATTTCTCCTACATATTTCTTTATTTCAAATTATTTTTTCGATATTATAAATAAAAACAAAGCGAGTTAAAGTTTATGCAAAATTCTTCAATTCGTTTTTCACATAATACAAACAATGATTAATTACAAATTCAAGAATACTATTCTACATTAATTAGGAAACGTTAAAAGTTAAATTAAATATCCAAGCTTTTTGTTTTTCCTTTTTTTATTTTTAATTCTGCTGAAGATTTAAAAATAGATTCTTCAGAACAAAGAGCAAAAATAATTCTTCGAATGGAAAGGAAATGAAAGAGAAGAGAAAATTTTATTTCTAACGCGAACAATGAACGATTTTCTGCCTTATAATTAAAACGAGATTGGTTTTGCGGCAAGGCTCCTTTGTTTTCAAATAAAAGTTACATCCAAAGATACGAAATAAAATTAACAATATAGATTGCTGCAATATAGATCAACTCTAGCAAGCATTAAGTATCCAATTTCTTTTATTTTTCCGTTATTAAATCGTTCAATTTAAGTTAACTCTTTTTTAAAATATCACGAACCAGACCAAAATAGAATAAGTACTTAAATAAAAGTACTTTCACGATTGCCGCGAAACATAATTACGCCACCTCTTCACCGCAGCTAATCGCTTGATCGACGCTTTTTAAGAATCATCCTCGAATATTGTTGATGATACGTGTCTTTTCTTTCCCCTCTCCCCCCCCCCTCCCCTCCACACTGGAACGAATAGATAACCTCTCTCACAATTAGTACAAAGTAATTTTAATTTAAGAAAAAGAAAACGAAAAAGAAAAAAGAAGCTTCAACGAAATCTTGCATTATTTTAATTTTATTTCATCACATCCAGATTAGCCAGGACCTTGGATCGTTCACACAAAATGAACAATCGTGTTCACACCTCTCGCTCTCTCTCTCTCTCTCTCTCTTTTTTCTCTCTCTCTTCTGCACCCAAAATCAAAACCATAGCAGCCTCGTCTTGAGTCTTATGATCTTATAACGAACAAATTGATTAAACATTTCCAGTTGTTGTCCAGTACAGTGAAATCGTGGCTCGAGCTCGTTACGAGCCAAATGGCGGCCTGGATCGTCTCGTTTCTGCGCTTCCTCAAGCTCCTATTCTTCATGTAGGAAAATAACGGCCGCGCGCTATGTCGTCCTCCCTTAATCGAACCACCGTCCTTCGTTCCCCGACCTGTCGTGAGTGTATGCTTCCCGAGCGACCTTGAGAACGTCTCCTGTCGATGGAATGCCCGTCGAGATCGTGGCACACTAACAGAGTCCCCGCTCGAGCTTCCGGATCCGGCTTTAGCCTCGACAGCGGTTTACCACTATCCTAAAACGGAGCTGTTTGAACGACCCTTTCAGGTGAAAAAATCATCGGCCTCTCTGTTCGCTGAAAGATCGAGGATGAAGTTGGAGCTGGCTAGGAGGTTAGTGAAGCCAGAGTTGAACATCGAGGAGAATGATCTCGACGCAACCACGGCCTCCTCTTTCAGCAAAGAGCCGAAGCCAACCGGCGTGCCGGTGATCGATGAGACGAGCAAGGTCGCCAAATATGCCAAGCCAAAGGGGGCCCGGAACAGGGCTTCGACCCCTTTGCAGACCTCTTGGGAAGAGGCGAGCGTGAAAGCCTCGAAACTTTCTAGTCCGAGGAAAGGTGTCGAGGATTCTTCCAAGGTCACAGGAAGACCGTACAATTTAAAGAAAGGACGGATCATCGGCGAGCAAATAGTTACCTCGATCTCGGTCGAAGAGAGGCCCATCGAGGAGACGACCAAACCTTACACGAATCCATCGATCATCGGTTTCGCGGAAGAGGGAGCGGCGACAACCGTCGACTCGACGAGGATTCGTCCGGGAGGGAACGGTCGTGGAGGGAAGAAATCGAGGGAAGAGAGCTCGGTGTCGAGCAAGAACGCGAAAGTCTCGCTCTACTCTACCCGACGTGCCGAGGATATCGAGCCTGTAACGACTATCAAACCGAAAAAATCTTATCCATCGCGTAACAGCAAATTGCAGGAACAGACAGAGCAGGATTCCACGACGTCTAAGAAATCGTATGCGCCAAGAAAGTCGCAAGCGTTTCAGGAAGAGGATCTTAGCAAGAACCTAAGTTCGGTAGCGGCGTGACCAAGCCCACGTTCAGACCTCGTTACATTAAACGAACCAAGGATAAATTTCTGGACGAGAGGACGACAATCGATCAATCTACCATTACCACTAATACGCCGGTACCTACTAGCAGATATTCGAGGAAAAAATCCGCGGTGAAGTCTGTCGATGATAGATCGAAATCCGCGGAGGGATCGCAAACGAAGAAGCTCGAATTTAGACCTCGAACCGCCACCTATCGAAGACACTCCGAGGTTCCAACGACCTTGGTCGGATCTACTCCCAGGATCGATGGTGTGGCCATCACGCCTCGGTCGGCAAAGTATCATGCCACGTTGAAGACATCGACGGTGTCTTCTAGATCGGTAGTGCAGGAATCGCAGGTAAATTTGAGAATCGCGAACGAATCGGCACAAGAGGCGTCAGGAATTACCGGCAGCAGCAATGGAGACAGTGGTAACTCGAATATCTTCAATCCTACGAAAAGCACGATCCTTGCTGGGAACAACACCCTGTTGGAACAATTAAGAAGCACGGTGGCACCGTTGTTAAACTCCCTTGGCAACAGGACACCTGTGTTCTCCGGATCTTACAGTAACGTTAACAATGTGGTGAGTATATGATATTGATTATTTGGATTAGATTTTGCTCGTCTTTTTTCCTTTTGTTGATTTTCATTGGAATTAATATATGTGGCAATGAGATAGCCATTGGAGCAAGAAATAATTATAGATTTTGAACGAATTTTTATTTATGTTGATGTTGTTTAATCATGGAACATTTGTATATTTAAAAAATTACACGTGTTTTATTTATGCTTGTTTAATAAACTTTTGGCACTCAATTTTGTAATAATCGGTCGTTTTGTTTGTGAACAGAATTCCTCTCCCAGAATCACCCCTAATGGACAACCGCCTCGCTTTAGCGCGAGATACAAAGGAGCGGAATTGTTTGTCAGGAAGCAAAATAACATTTATCAGCCCACTGTGCCATCCGTCACTAGTTCGTCAACTACACCAGTTACACTTATCGAGGTAAGATATTAAAGTATTTAAAAAACATTCAGGAAGCACTAACAAATAACTAAATGAAGAGAAAGTTTATATAAAAATTATAAAGAGATTAAACAATTCTGCAAAATTTTGCAAAATTCGAATAATAATAATATTAATAGCAGTTAATAACGATTAAGAATAAGTTAAATTTTAAATAGAAAATATTAAAAACGCTATTTCTAGTAATATAAGTGATAATGTATATAGCTAATGTAATGACGATATATAATAATATTGATTCTTAATAAAAGAAAGCTGTAAAATAAAATTAGAGAATAATGGAAGGTCGTATGTGAAAGAAATGGATCGTGACGATGATTACCGAGGTAAGATTACGTGGCAGAAGAAAGTTGTAGTTAACAGTGAGTTAGTGTGGTCGTTTTTTCTGTGCTTAAAAGGTTTTCACGACGAAGGTAGCCGAGGAGATCGGGGCAGTCGCACCTCCATCGTGGACCGATCACATTGGTGTCATCACAACTCCATCCGGAAGTCTCGATTCTAATGACATCGATACGAATAATCTGCGTTGAACTAATATCATTCGAAATGTATTTCGTTCGATGTGATTACTAATCATTTTTCTTTTCCATTAATGTTTTTCAGTGTTTCATTGTTCGTGAAATATTATCGTATATCGAGCTTTCGTTTCAAATATTAATAATATTAAATATACATCTGTTTCTTGTCCATTCCATACATTCTAATGTGATTTTTATATTTCTTTAGATATGAATATTGTTAGATATAGTTGAAGTATAAAAAGAAAAAAAAAAAAAAAAAGAAATATAAGTAATACAAGAAAATGAACAAAAAAGTATAATAACCATTAATTTGTGTTAAAGTGTAATAACCATTAATAACATTTAGTTATTGTGATATATGTTACTCGTTATAACAGGTTTGCATTTACTAATGTGCACAGATACTTACGTTATTACTACCGTATACATATACTGTGTTATACAAGATTATTATAAATATATACATATATATTTTTGGTAATAAATGTTCTGGTTCTTGGATATCGCACGCGACATGCAGTTGTTCGTTCTTATTCAAAAGCGACCATTTATTTATTATTGCGTTAAGATAAAAAAAAGGTATAATATTGAGGAGTATTAACCAACTTTTTTTTATCAATTTTAATTTAAATACATCATTTTCAAGATCTCTATCGGATATTAAAAAATAATCGAAAAATTTAAATACAATTGAAATTAAATTCACAAAAGATATCTATCTCTATTTTATATGTTATTCTCCCATATAACATTTGCATACGTGTACATTAAGATTGTTAAATATTTACTGCCTTGTTCCACATTGTTCGACATAGATGCATTTCTAATTCATCATTTTAATTTTATATACGTTATTTGTTATAACTGAGTGAATTACAAAATGTTTGTTTGTATTACAAGCATTTATGAAACAACGAATTACAAAATTAGATTTTACGGTAAAAGCATTAAATTTAAAATCTATATTGATAATTAAATATTTCTTATTTCTTTTAACACCATATTTTTTAAACATAAAATATAATTAAAATTTATAGTATTTGAGAAATATTATAAAGTAAAGTACGTAAAGTATTATCGTAGCGAACAATATACATTCTTTCCTATCTTCACTGAATTACTCTCATGATTGTATTCACGTAATTATGAGAATTGAATAAACATAAGTTACTCTTCAACCGAGTAAACGTTTTACATTTGAATACGTAACGAGACTCGACTTTCTAATACGAGCACATACCGATTACATAGGCAAATTTTCGTGATTCGTACATTTCATAGTGTTCGAGGTAATAACGAGTGAAAGTAAATGGATGCTGCGTAATCTGTATAAGCATGCATTAAAACTGTCTTAACTGTGAATGGTATCTGGGACATGTAGGTGGATCAAAGACAAAAAAAGAAAAAAAAAAATTAGACAACTTAAAGTCACAAATTCATCTTTCCTTGTTAATCTTGCAATCTTGACCTCTGAATTTTTTATAACGAGTCTTTAAAATCTAAATTTTAAATTAATTATATATCATATATACATAATTTTTAACGTGCAAATATTTAGAAAAGGTATACACAAATTATTTTCGAATTAATTCCTATCTTGTTTTTCAATATCGAGAATATTTGAAATTGAATCGTTAAATGGAATCGCATTTCGATTTTATCCTACCCTCAACAATGTTGAAGACATATCACTGGAGACCTCTATGAGAGAGGATTAATAGCTATGAGAAATCCCGATAAAAAGGAAAAAATGGAAGTGAACGGGCAAGCCAGTCTCTATAAACGATCCTTTGCCCGAGGAACGAGTTTCTACCTCGCCTTTGCTGAATACCAGTGTATTTCTTAAGTGTATTAAGGCAACCTCGGTTTCTCCTCTTTCATGCCTAGTTCATACCTTTACCAAGAGATGGTGTATGCTCACTCAATTACGAGACCCGATCAAACAATAAATTCGCGCTTCAAAACTGCTTCATTCATCATCATAACATAATCTAGATTCTCAAAAAGAGCGAACAACATGCGTGTACTTTACGATTTCTCGTTCCATTGTAAATACATCGATCGTATGATAAGTGTTCAACGTAGAAACCACAGAATAAACCAAAGAGCCACTAGAAGAGCACATATACCGGTTTTATAACGGTATATAATTGAATTGTACAGCACCCTGCACGCACAAAATTTTTGTTTCTAGAACACTGGTTCGGCACCACCCATCGATGTCTCGAATCCTGGCCAGTCGAAATTCTTGACCCTTTATCAGGCGTTGGAGTCGGCCAGCATCAGGAACGAACAGTTACTGAGAAACATGAGCGCGCAACAGCAAGAGGGACGACTAGTTGGCATGGTTCCCCAGGTAGACTCTAACGCCACTGCCGCTAACGTCACCGGCGATAATGCTAACAATGACGCGACAAGCCCCACCGTAGCGACAACCGGCCCACAGACCCCAGACACCACCTTGAACACTATTCAGGACAGCACACAGACCCCGAGATTACCCGAGGACACGGAGAACTCCACCCCCGCGGTAACCACAGGAGCCCCTGAAACCCCTTCGACGACCGAACCGGTTTTCACGAGCACAGAACCGTCCTCTAGTACCGAACAACCGACCTCCACCAGCACAGAATCGTCCTCCAGTACCGTGCAAGTTTCCACGAGTACAGATTCGTCCTCCACCGGGGAACAGATTTCCACGAGCGGCGATTCGACGTCCGTGACCGAGCAGACCACTACAGAGACGGTCTCACGGGTTACAGATGCAACGACGATGAGCGTGGGAGGCGCGGAAGACACTCAGACCCCTGCAATGGTAGATAATGGCAGTTCGAGCACTCAGGAACTCGTAAGTTCATCCACGGATATTTCTGTGACTACGTCCGCCATGACTACTATGAATCCTGTGTCCACGACTCCTATGATTACGAGTTCTGCGCCCGAAGCTGCTACTCGACTCGAGGAGAGTACCGGTTCCACTGCTGGTAGCAACGATGTACAAAGTACGGAACAGTTAACATCAACCATCGGTGATGTTTCATCGACGACGATAGGAGTTTCGCAGGATACAATGGAGACGAGCACTGTCGCCAGCACGCCGAGTAGCACGTTCAAAAATCCCGAGACTAACACCATACCTTTCTCTGATACGATTGCCAGTCAGACAACCGACGCTAGCGGTTCGACCGATCCTCCCGGCTCGACGGAAGCAGATTCGAGTAATATGATCGACGTAGAGACGACTACGGCGATACCTGTGTCCACGACTCGAAACAGGTTGATAGATTTTGCACAAGATATTCTGTCTCGTTTGCAAGCTAGCCTGTCTACCACGGTGCCAAGTGTGGATTCGACCACGTTGTCCCCTCGGTTGATTGAGACATCGAATCAATCAAGTAACAATCGTAGCTTGGAATCTTTGTCGCAGATGAAGGAAGGAACGACTACTTTGTCGTCTGTCACGATGGATCAATCGAGTTTAAGAAGCGAAGAAATGACCACTCAGAGCGCAGTAGGTTCAATTACTACTTTGTCACCCACTCAAGAGGCCAACACGCGGGACGATATGAATGTAGTCACAACCACAACACCAAGAACAACAACAATAGTCACACAAGACTCTCAAACAATTTCGAACACAGATTCCACAACCGTAGGTGATTCAAACAGTTCAACGACTTCCCAATTAGACGTTGAAATAACCACTTCATCGACGATCACTTCCACCAATGATACTTTACTAACAGAGTTAATGTCCATTGCCAAGACACTCTTTTCGGAAGAGATGAACGAACAACAAATGACAGCAGGGCAAAATTTAAACGACACGTTTAGTTTGGAAAACGAGGTAGACAGTCCGAATTTGTCGAATGTTGCGCAACTCAGTACAACCCAAGCTGCAGAATCGACGTCCGTTTCCCCAGACGTGACGACAGAAAGCATAGAGTCAACATCTACCGCATCCTCCGCTGACCCTTCTCAGAACGAAGTGGACTTTGCAAATTCTGTCACAACGGTATCTTCTGAAAATTCGTCAGACACGTCTATAACCACCCCTCGAAACGTGTTTAGCGTCGATAACGAGGTAGAAAGTGTACAAACGAACGGAACCGCATTAGAATCTTTTGCTCAAATTGTAGAGTCAACGACTCCCTCATTTACGACCGAGATCGGACCACGAATCACTCAGCCAAATACAGAATCGTTCGAAAATGGTGTTGAAACTACCACGACACAGACAACCACCAGCACACAAAATTCAGAAACGATATCTACCACGAATTTTCAACTAACCACTAACACGTTCGACTTAATCACGACGACTGGCCTTCGAACAACCACCGAGAGTACCACCGAACCACCCGTAGAAACCACTGTGTCATTAACCAGTTTCACAACTGTATCGCAGCTTGTGACAGAGACAAGCACTAATCAATCCGACGTAACTACCGTAGCTCCTGAAACCACACTTCCCTCTGTAAATACGATCACCACCACACCATCGACATCCCTCGATACGAACACAGAGCAAACTACAACGGCACCTGGCGTAGAGTCGATCGTAAACGGCGTAGAAAATGTGGAAACTAACCAAACAATGTCCACGACAACGCAGTTGGCACCTGTGACGAGCGCTGATAACGAAACCCTCGAAGCCACCACGCCACCGATTACAACCACTGCGCCCCAGGATGTTAATTCCACGGATGACACGGGAGTAACTACTAACCAGTCCCCTCCGCTAATATCGAGTCCAATGCCCGCCACGGAATTAATGCTAGCGAAGCGACAAGCGTCCCCCAAACAACCCCAAACCTCGAGAACGAAACTCCAATTATTCTTGCCCGTTTCCAGGATACCACATCAACAACCGCCCAAGGGACGGCAGGTTCAGGAGTCGGCCAAACGACCGAGATCACCACTCCCACGATCCAAGATTCCTCCACCGTCCCATCATCCACTTTCGAATCCTTAAGTTCCTCGTCGCTTCCCTCCGACTCGACCACCTCGTCTTCGGTCGAGACGACGACAACGACCACGACGACGACCATGACCACGACGACGATGACCGAGATGACAGAACGCGTTCCTGACGGTGGAACATCCACGCCTCAAACAACGAGAATGGACGTCTTCACCGTCACTCCGGTGACGGAGACTACTACCACGGTTCCGAGCACCACCCTCGATATAGAGGAGAATCTGATCTCCACCGAAACTGGATCTACTTCGACGACGGAAACCACGACCACCGTGTCGTCGGTGACCAACGGTGGCCAAGGTGGTACGAACGACACCACGAGTATCACTCCTGAAAGTACCACCACTTCTGAAACGACGCAAACTAGCGCTGCAACGATCGCATCGTCGAGTTCTTCGACTACTCCGCCCTCTCAGACCGCCACGACGCAGTACTTGGGTCGATTCGGTGCCAGCAGATTGACACCCGCGCCACTCTTCAGCCTGAGCTCGACCACCAAAACTCCTCTTCGAGATTACCTGGTGTACGGGATTTATCCGAATAAAACGATCGTGAGGAAACGGCCGGAGGACAACCTGATCGACGCGAGGAACGTGGACAGCCCGTACGTGATATTCGGTATCTTCCCGGACGGAAGGCTGGTCCGGAAATTCCCGAATGGAACGATAATACCGGATCCACCTAGGAGCCCGGTCGAGGTTGTGTTCTCACTTAGCACTACAACTACCACTAACAGGCCACCACCCAGACCGTATTATAACCAGGCTAACCAAGGCACTTACAATCAGTATCGAGGCCCTGTGTACTATAATAACGGTATACCTGTCGCTGAACCGATGAGAAACGTCCAAAGTCCCGGCACCGTTGATCTTGGCCTTACTGGTAACGCGATCGTCGGCCCTAATGGAGGTGGACCCGATAATACGGGGCCACTTGGTACCCCTGCTAGCACCAACGAAATGGTATCTCTTATTCCGCCTGTTCATCATCATCGATCGTTATGCCATCGTTTTGTCGGTTCTGTCGATACGAGTCGTTCGAATCGCGTCTCACTTTTGCCTCTTTTCGATCAAACATGGAATAAATGTGTCATTGTTGCATAAAATTGGAGAATTTTTGGAGAATATACGTATAGTGGTTGTTGCATGGAAATAATCGTTTTAGATATATCGAATTTAGAGGATTTATAAGATTGTTGTAAAATTTATAGTAATAATATTTTTATAAATATGAATTTATTCTATGAATGTTCGCTGACAAAGTTTTTGAACAATTTTTTAAGCTTTCTTAGAATATTAGAACTTGTGGTAAAAATTTGAGATTATTTTACTTTTTAATTGATATTTATCCTTTTTCACTAGATTTATTATTACATTTTTGAACGTATTTTTTTTTAATCTCTCAATGTTAATGTAATTTTTATGTTCACAATGGCACATGTGCATTTGCTTCTTGTTTAACGCTTTGGTTTTGTTGAAGTAGATTTTTTTGTAGTAGTGTACTAATTTTCCAATTTCGTGTTTATTAATTTATATTATATAAATGTCTTCTTTTAAAATAATTCGGTTTCATCGTCAAAAGAATTTATCAAATGCCTTTTCTAAAGTACCTCGTTTTTTGACTTTTTAATTTCTTTTTTTTCTTCCATTTTCGATAGGACCTTTTAATTTTTCAGAGTAAACAACATTATTATATAATTCTTCTTCGTTGTATATTTGTAAATAATTTGTACATTATATATCGCATGTTGTTTTTCTTTTTCATGCACCGCGCACGTAATGTTGAAACGCACTTAATATTATGATAATATCAAAAATATTATATATTTTATATCTTTTTTCGTCAATTCGAAATTACAATAAATTGAAAGTATCCATAGCAGAGAAGGAAAAGAAAAAAATAAGAAAATGAAATTTCAACACTTTTACAAATGGTATTCGATAAACTCTTATAGGATTAGGATTGCGAAAGTATTTCGTTTTCACTCGTCATTCATCCCCAATGATTAAATTACACGTGATCGAGCTTAGCGAAATATTGATCGATCGTTCATTTACTTTCATATATCTTACTCAACGATAAAATCCAATTATAAATATTTTTCAGAAATATAAATACCACTATTGCAGATTTTCTCTATTTTCTGACACAAAATGTGATGGCTAAATTACACTCCGTCACAAAATACAATCCATAACTTTTTTTTATCAAATTCTTCACAACAATTGTGTTCCATATAAATGAAAGAAACTATCTATCCACAAAGTTTAACGATTCGATACCTTAATTTTCAAAATAATTCAGAACGGTCGATCAAACTTTCGCTATTGATCTCACGTATCATCTTCAGAGATACTGTATAAGTTTAGAAACGTTTGAGAGATAACGTTTACGATTTCGCATTGTTTAGAGCAATGCCCTGCTGAATACGCAAATGGGGACAGCATCGGTGACGCCGATAGTAAGTACCGGTCGACCGCCGACCGTTTTGCAGGGCGGTCGTATCGTCCAAGATCGAGAGAGGGACGAGGCCACCAGGACGAAAGAGGCCGGAGGTCAACGCAGCTCCGTGTACATCGGACAGGTAAGAAAGGAAGAAAGACAGAACATGATTTACAACGACGCCGCGGCTGATTCTTTCAGCGCTGCAACATATCTCTGCAAAGGGGAAAAAGAAAAAGGAAAAAAAAAGAACAACGTCGACTGTTTCAGGACAAGTTCGTCAATTATTGGACCGATGGGGCTTCCACCACTAACCCACGCGCTCTCAGTGTGAATATAAATTCGGTAGCTGTAAGTTAAAACCAAACGGAAGGAATTAAACGGCTTTCGAGTCTTTTCCTTGTTTGTTTTATCGAGGATATATTTATAGAAGGAATTTTTGGGATATTTTTTCGAAATATGTTAAAAAATATCTTAAAGATAGATATATCAATAATTAGTTTTGTTTTCTTTCGTTGTTTCTAAGATGATTTGAAATTTATTTATTTCTTGTCTGTTATGTTACTCAGACTGCCGCAAATGTGGGTCCATCATCTTCGGTTCCATCATTTGATAATCTTTTGAATAATCAGCCAGGAAATCAAGTCACAGCCCCCCCTGGATTTCCATGGAGAGATCCTTTGGATCAAATCTTTGGTATTACTACCTCCTCGCCGGTTATAACCGCATCAGTAGCATCAAATACGTTGGTTTGTAATAAATTTCATCTTGTTGAAGATAAACTTAAAAATTTATGAAACTTTCATACTATAAATTCCTTTTCTCTACTTCTTTCTCAGGACGATACAATGGAATCGAATAATCCAGCCTTGCCACGTCCAATCAATCCATACGTCGAGGTTTTCACTCCATTTTCTAGCGTGATTGGTGTTCCAAAAGGCAACGTAGGAACTATTCCACCACCATCAGCAACAACATCTATTACATCAACAACTCCTATTTCTACTACTAGTAGCAGTACTACCACCACTACATTGGCACCAATGACAACAACCACAACCACAATGGCACCAACAACTACCACTAGTACAACTACAATGGCACCAACTACAACAACTACAACTACAATGGCACCAACTACAACAACTACAACTACAATGGCGCCCACAACTACAACTACAACTACAACAGCTACAACAGTTGCATCTACTTTACAGCCTGCAACAACAACACAAACTTCTCAAACAAATGTACAAATGATGAATTTATTAAATCGGCCACAGCAAAATGCTTTTGGTACCTCGATCGATGATTTAGTTTTCTTGAATTCATTGGTGAGTTTTTGATTAATTACATTTAATAATAATATATATATATATATATATATCATTCTTCATCTCATGAAATTGTTCAATTTTTTTTTTTGTATAGTTGCAAAATGATTCACGAAGCAATACACAGAGGACACTCACCCAAGTCGAGCAGCTGTTAGCAAATAAGGTAAGTAACAAATGTATTATTACTTCAACATTTTACATTTTTCGCATCATTTCCCGCGTATCTAATAAACAGGCTTAATAATAAAGAAAAAAGTAATCACAAGAAAAACGTATAATCTTCGTCTGAATCATTTCTTTCGCATAAAATATAATGATACAGAATTTGAAGAAGCGGAATTATCATTGAACCAATAACGCGATCCTCGCCAGAACAGTATATGCAATTATCGTTCGATCTACGACGAGAAAATCGAGGAACGAGTCGCTATGCAAACGCTATCCTTTCACTCCTTTGCACAACTGTGCAACGAACTGTACTTTGTCTCTAACGCGTTCGTGCTCCGACTTACGCCGATCCTCTTTTTCCTCCCTTTCTCGTCTTCTCGCCGCCTATAATAAATAAAATCGCAACGACTATGAGAAAATCGAACGCGAGAATAAAAATTCGTTAGATCTCGCAGATTATCTTTAGTCACGCCCTTCTTGGAAAGACGTAATGATGGATCTACGCCGATCGCAATCACATATGATCGAACAGCAACGGTGAATGGACTGGCACAACCTTGCCAACGGCCTTCTCTATTCCGCGCAACAGTTGTTCGATATGTCATCTCTCGATAACGTTGACCGTCGATGCGGAGCTTAACGCGCCGCAAATGGATGACATTAATATAACAGCAATAAAGACTTTTGTATAAAGGTTTTATCATCGTTCGTAAATAAACCTATTAGCAATAAACGCGTAAAACAGAATTAATTGTTGCTTGGATATTAAGATTAAGATTTTGTTTCTTTGTTTTCGCGATTATTTTTTTCGATTTTGCAATTCAATATTTGATTGTAATGAATGGTACGATTTTAAATTCTTGTGGATCGAATAAATGGGAAGTTATGCGATTTTCTTTTTCTTGGTCGTTCGTAATAGATTTTTTGTAGGATTCACTTTAGATTGACAGTTTCAAATTACTGATCAATGGATAGAACAAGAAAGGATAATATATTAAGGGAATCCAAAAAAAAAATTTTAGAATGTTTCATATATCACAAGGTGTTTTAAAGAGAAGTGTCTTATTTCTATTTTGTTTTACAATTCATTTCCAGATCTTGTCTCTAGCATTGAACCAGGCAGGACAGGGATCAACTCGAGCGCCAAAAGCTATAAGCATTGAAAATGTTTCGCCAAATTCAATTTTCGAATCCGCATCTACTTCGAGGCCAATAGTGATCGATTTGTCTCCATCATCGACAACAACCACTGCACAGAAATCGACCGATCAAAAATCGATAATAAGTGGTTCGACACCCGAACAATTGACTTGGAAACCAGTTACAACCACGACTACGAAAAAAGATATCGAAACAAATACAGTTTCTGCAGCATCGAGCACAGCCAAAATTACTCAGATAAGCACCACTAAAGCTCCTGTAACAATGAAGGTTAAATCAGTGACCACTCCTCGACCTAGGACCACCACGACTCAAGCGCCATTAGGCTTCGGTAGTCTTCTATGGCAGACTATTTTCGGTGGAGGTTTATTTGGATCAACAACGACGACTCCTAAACCTGTGAAGGCTAAGCCAGCAAAGACGGCGCAAAAATCTGTTGATATCACTCCAAAGCCGCAGATTCAAACTATGCAGAGATTAGAAACGACAACTACTCCTTCCACTACAACTCTGAAAACTGTGGACATTTCGAAAATTCAAGTGAGCAGTCCAAATTCGATGATAGAGGATAAGTCGGTGGCCTCGTCGTTTGCAATATCTACAACGAAGAAACCATTGATCAATAATCCAAATCCTCGATTGCCTAACGTGGTGACGTCAACCTATTCTCCTGAAGAAGATGCAAAATTCTTGGTTGAGCTTCTTCGTGCCGTTGAACAAGGTGAGTTAAGTTTTAATTGAATATCTATAATTTAAAAATTTTTTAAATTCTGTAATTGTTGTAATTTAGAAATTTAGAAACAATTGATCATTGTTATTATACTGTTTTGTTACAGATAATAAGGCTGGTTCCTCGAAGAAGACGAGGTTAACTCAAGACGATGAATCCTTCTTAAGAGCAATTTTGACCGGTCGAGGTTTAACAACAACAATGCCATCATCGACGACAGAAATCAGTAACGCTGCTTTGCTGGCGGCTTTGTTAAAGGCCCAAGGAATAGAACCATCGACCCCGGCCACTAATATCAGGGAACAATTGCAGCTGATGGTGAGTTTCATCCATGAAATATTTCTTATATTTTTAAACATAACAGAATATCGTAATTTTGTATGGATCAATATTAAATTTACATCATCATCAATTACTTATTTAAGTTTTAATAAGATTCAAAAAAGATTTTCCAAATTAAAATATGAAATTCCGAAATAAAATTTTCCAATCAGCTAAAACTAGAAACTAAAAAGGTTTGATCGAATAAAATCAAATTGTTCAACTAACTCGACCCAGTCAAAATCGCAAAAAAAAAAAAAAAGAAAAATAAATTCAACGATGTAATATAATTCTCCAACAAATTGGAGAATTTCGAGGCTCGAGGCGAATACTTTAATCGAATCGCAAGGGCGAAGCGCGAGGCAACAAAGAGCGATGAAAGAAAATAATTGCTCGTCTTGTAACAGAGCCTTGGGCAGAGTGTCACCTCTGCTCCGACCGAGTCCACAGCGGCCAAGTCGGCGACAATTACGACAAGGCCGGCATCGAGTGGTGCAACCCGACCTACCGACACCACGAAAAAGACGGTGACACCGAGACCAACCTCGGCACCAAGGATACGCACAACAACCTGGTCGCCGAGCTCCACGTATCCACCATCCCTCTTCAGCTCCTTCTCCAATTACGGTACCCCGGTACAGTCAGCCGATAATTCTGGAAATAGCGCGTTATTCGGTGCTACCAGAGCGTTCAGCCAATTTCTCGGTGCCGCGATAAGCGTAAGTTGTATTTCTATTGTGGTTATTCAATTATGATCTTGATCATTCGAGTTTTTCACTGGTTTGCTGGTGATGGATAATAGAGAAAGAGATGTATAAAATTGAATCGTGCAGTGATTATTGTTACATGTGTGGAGGAATTGGTTTTTTGGTTAGAAAAATTATTAGAATTATAATTAGATATAGAGATATTTTTGACAAAATTAGATAGTGACTTTTATTCAGATAGAAATGTATTAATAATACTATATTCTAGCTTGAGTTTTTAATTCAAAAATTTCAATTTTTTTCTTACAAATAACGCAGTATTTTTATGTTTCAGGGAGCTGCTCAACAATTGCAATCGCTTGTCAGAAACGGTACTAGAATTGTATCCGAAGTGATGGGATAAAGGTGGCGAAAATGAAAAAAATTACAAACAGTCCGTGGAATAAAAGAAATTAATTAAGCAAAGATCTATCAAAATTTAGAATGATACAACAAATGTGATAATTTAGAACGATCTACGGCAAAATAGTTTTACTTCGAAAAGTGGGATGGTAGCGATACCTTGGATAAATATTCACTATCAGCTTACAGAGGTATTTTTAGGAAATATTATCGGCAGATTAAGTATTTGCTTGAAAATTCATCGAGTTTTATCTTGTTATTACTTGTAATTATTGTTGATCGAATATTTTAATTTAATCAATCTAGCTAATAGCGGGCATGACAAATATTAACTGTGACTTAATATTAATTCTTAAAACACGGAGTTATCTCACTATCTGTTTCAGTTTCAAAGAAATTTTTAATATCTGAATAATCAAACTATAAAAGAGTTACAAAATCTTCTATGATTCAAAATTGGAAACAAGATCGTAGAAACGCAAATAAACATTCGAAATATTCTTGAAGGATTGTAGCCAAATTTTATCATTAATTTTTAATTTCTTTCATTCTCAAGAATTCACTCGATTAAGATTCTTCCTCCAACGAGAGTCGAACAACGATCTCAAAACGCTCCGTGTTTTAAGCTACTGGATACTATCTATCGTCAAAGAGACTTCCTCTGCATCGATAAGAAAAATCAACAATCGAGAATCCTCGGATCTGCGACGCGAGTACCGTCTCGACGCCTTGCGAACGTTTCATGGGGGTAGGAGCCGTACGACCTCCCCCTCGTCCTCGACGGCTGCCTCTTTGAGACATTCGTAACGTTCGTCGCAATTAAGGTAATTAATCGGAAGGGGGGACGACGCGCCTCGTCACGACTCGCGAGACAGTGACGATCCGCGGCGTCCCACGTGTGAAACGCGGATCGATTTGCGGGGCCACCCACAAAGATCGACTTAACCACGACCTCGTCGACGATACTGCTTAAGAAAAAGAAAAAGAAGAAGAAGAATAACAAGAGGAAAAGAAGAAGAAGAAGAAGAAGAAGAAGAAGAAGAAGAAGAAGAAGAAGGTGGTAACTTAAACGTATATACATATCTGAATGGGAGCGAGCATATGAGAAAGAATGCGTGCACGTGTGTGTATATGTGTATAAAAGAAAGAGAAAAAGTGATAGGGAGTGTAGAAGAGAGAATATGACGAGAGTATATACCACAGTGGCTCGCATTAATGTTTCGAGATCAAGATATGACGGAGATTATTGCTCTATATATTCGTTTATTACAATGTTATCGAGTTGATATTCAATATAACGTTATAACGTGTAGGAATAAACGTTTAATGCAACTTTTGCAGAATAATTGAATAACGAAGATAGATGATATCATAAAAAAAATATTCAAAAAATTACATTATTAAAAACATATTAACATATTAGATGTAGTTATCAAAGAAATAATCGATTCAACTCAATATTGTTGTAAACAAATATATATATATATGGAGCAATACTTATTCTTATCCAAACGTTAATTCGAGCCATTATATGGAGAGGCGTGAAAGGAGCAATGATACGTAGAATTCGCGAGCACCTTTCGCCGTTCTGATGCGGTGCAGTTCCTTTTTTCTTTTTTTTTTTTTTTCTTTCCCCTCCTTTTTACACGATAAAGCTAGAAACGTGCGCACGATGCACACGATCCTTGAGTCTTTCGTATGTTTGGTAGCTCGGTGTGGTAATGGTAACGGTATGAGTAATAAGCTTGGTTATTTAACGACCGTGTTAAGGGTTGAAACGTTGACGGGTATTCCCCTATCGGACATTTATCGACGCTGCGTTGCCAGGTTGTCGCCGTGTTTATTGATTTTTATCGCGGGTAAATAATTTCGATCGGTCGTAGAGGTTAGGTGGGATTCCAATTTTCCCGAGATCCGTCTTTGTTTTTCCGGCTTTTAGGTGTGTAGGTGTGTAATCGATAATCGTAGGGCTCACGATTTTGCGATTCTCTTTGTATAAATGGATATGATTGTAATAAACAATGTAATTTCGGGAAACGTAGACGTAGATTTCTTTCAAAATCCATTATCATCTTCCTTTTTTATTAAACTGAGAGAGAGAGAGAGAGAGAGAAAAATTTTTATCGGTTTGTGCATGCAAGAAACAGGTGCGGGAATCGTAATGGAGATGTTATTCGATGTTTTTAATTATAGTTTAAACGTAGCGTAGAATTTTTGAATTCAATGTATGATAGATGATAGATGAAGGGTTGTTCGAGATATCTCGTTACTTTGTTGATTCGATTAATTGTTTCACGAGAAATATATCATATTGGTAACAAAAAAAAAAAAATCTATCGATCCTCCTTATTCCTTATGCTTCCAGAAATATATCGAGTTAAAAAACTTTTGAACGTTTGTTACCGAAATTTTTCTACGTATTATTTTTACCCTCTACTAGTTTCAACTCAATGAATTTGTTCAAATATAACGATTATAAATTATCCCATATCCCAAAAAATCAAAATTATATTATACCACGTATTATACATATTTTATCGAGGTCAAATTCACTTAGTCATTTGTCAAAGATCATTGAAATCCAGATAAGATTTATCCAGATCTCAGATATATAATTATTATTATTATTATTATTTTATGACTTACGAAAAAAAATCTCCTTCGAAATGCACGATCGGGTATGAAACTTAGTCACTAAACGCATCTACGTCATTGCTATCGTTCCCAACAACTTATGACGCATGTTCGCGGCCATTTTTTCCTCACCGCAGTCGTTTTATACTTGTCACTCCAGATCGGAACAGAAATTATTATTCAAAATAGCTCCAGATACAACGTCCGCGATCGAGGCATAATCAGAGTGTGAAGATAAACTTGTTTCGCCAGTACGATTGGCTAGCTTGCACAATACACGATTTTAATTGTCAAGACCGATTAACCAACAAGTTAAAGTTATTTGATTATTAACTTTGCGCGAAGTGTGTCTTTCATCTCTTATGAGAAAGAGGTGAAAAAAAAAAAAGGAAGAAAAAAATAGAAGGGGGAAAAAGAAGAAAACGAAAGGAACTTTTCTTTCTCCGTTTCTTTTTTTCCACGCCTCTCTTCTTTCGCGAGAAGAACATCGAGAGACGGTCTGGAATATTAATCACACGCTATGACGTATTTAACAGTCATTAGGGACAGTTGACTGGATAGGATGAAGTGAAAAAGTAGAAAAGACTTTCCTCTCCTCTCACGGACATAAGTAATTTTTTCGAGTTACAATACAATATTATTTAGGAAACATTTATATAAGAATATTTTATAATATCGCATGATTAACTAATACGAAATGGAAATAGAAAAGTAGATTAAGTTTCTTTTCTCGTAGAATCGTGATCATCTGTTCTGCTCGATCTAACATAATTTTATTCATTATTCGTGTTCGTTGTAATTTTATTACGTGCAAATATTTCTCTATCTATCATCATAGATGTACATATAATGAAGCGATTATTAAGAAATGCGATTTAATTTTTAGGTTAATGGAATGGATTAAAAGAAAAAAAAAAAAAAAAAAAGAAAACATTTAACGTTTAAACGTTTCGAGCGATGAATCATCATTATTTTTAAAGAATTGATCGCATTCGAACAAGCTATAAAATAAAATACGATTCTAAAAAAGAACATCGTTGAATTTTATGTAGAAATTCTTTTAATGAGTAATCGTTTCTATTTTTCGATCAGTTTTGATTTAATAATTCGTACAATCGTTGAGATATTATGGCTCATAAATTAAATTATCCATTAAAAGAGGGAAAAAAACATTGATTTCACTTTTGATAAATTAGTCTCTCATTAAGTTTCTTTCTTCGATATCTTTATTTAGTGTTCTTTATTTATATAATTCGAATGAAAATAATTTAACTTGGTAGCTGTTAAGAGGAATTAATCGTTAAGAATAATCAGACTTTAAATGCAGTGCATCCTTCTTTACTTGTACCATTTGGAGTTCATAACGTACGATGTTGCATTCCAAGATAAATGTGGTATTCGTATAACGTTACTATCGTTATACAGTTAAGTCTCGCTCGTAAGTGCTTGATTGTTCGATGCGAATTTAATAGTATATTCAACACGAACGATGTTTGATATTTACAAAGTACCGCGTTCTAACGTCTAATTTTCTATAAATTTGTTCTTCGTGCACGCTTGTTTATTCTGTCTAAATACTTTGAATATTTATTTACCTTGAATCTAAAAAATTTTAATTTTTAAAAACTTTGAAAATTTATAAATCTCTGCAATTTAATGCCCTGCTTCTTCTGTTTGAGACGGATTCTTAATATCGATCGGATTAAAAGAAACGTTGAAAATATGGAAGAAAAATAATTGTTATTTACGATTGTAAATAGGACGAAAACGATTACTATATATAATCGCAAAATGAATTTTCCACAGAAATTGTACAAAAAAATTCCGGATAATAAACAATGTAGTTAATCAAACGATGATTATTGAGGACGTAATAACCGATCGTTTGATAAGACGGTCTTTATAAATATTTAATGAACTATTCCAATTTGTGTAAGGAATAATTATTATCGATAAATTATTATCTTAATATATATAGTGTATCGAGGAACGACAATTACCATATTTTAACTGCGGAATAATCCGTTCGATAACAAGGAGATCGTTCGATTCACACGTTAAATCTTCTCTCTTAACCGAACCTATAAATCACCTATAAATTCAATTCCATTATTTTTCCACTTTCTATTATGCATCTTTCTTTCTCTTATGCTTCCAAAGAAACACGTCTGTTGCCATCTCCCATATCCGACTACCGTTTACGTTTCGCAATTATATCGCCATCAATAGCGACGGAATCGAATAAACAACTCGAACAAAACCAAGTCTACTATTATTCCGTCGAAAAAATTCGATTCTTTCAAAGTAAGTACTCTTTCCATGATTTATATACATATATATATATATAGCACACGATCGAACGACATTCC